AAAAAAACAGAGTGACCTCAAGGATAGATTATTGTAATGCTTTATTGGGTGGTTGTTCTGCACGCTTAATAAACAAACTCCAGATGTTCCAAAGTGCAGCAGCTAGAGTTCTTACTAGAACCAGGAAGTATGACCATATTAGCCCGGTTCTGTCAACACTGCACTGGCTCTCTATTAATCATTGTATATATTTTAAAATCTTGCTAATTACTTATAAAGCCCTGAATGGTTTAGCACCTCAGTATTTGAACGAGCTCTTGTTGAATTATAGTCCTCCATGTCCGCTGCGTTCTCAAAACTCTGGCAATTTGATAATACATAGAATATCAAAATCAACTGCGTGCGGCATATCCTTTTCCTATTTGGTGCCCAGACTCTGGAATAATCTGCCTAACATTGTTCGGGAGGCAGACACACTCTGTCAGTTTAAATCTAGATTAAAGACCCATCTCTTTAACCTGGCTTACACATAACACACGAACACATTTCTAATATTCAAATCCGTTAAAGGATTGTTAGGCTGCATTAATTAGGACAACCGGAACTGGGAACACTTCCCATAACACCCGATGTACTTGCTACATCTAGGCATGGGCCGGTATGAGATTCTGACGGTATGATAACTTTAGATAAAAAATATCATGGTTTCACGGGATCACGGTATTGCGATTACAGCTCTAAAATGTTATTTTTAAATATCTGGGTAAAAAAAAAAACTTTTTTTTTCCACTGAACACATTTTATTTTGAAAAAACATATAGAACATTTTGGAACAGTAAACATGTCAGGCTAAATAATTAGAATAAATAATTAAATTATTCTTAATTAAATGCAGTCACTTAAGTGAGCCTAAACCTGCAGCTCAACAATAATCAGAACATAAATAAATTATTTTCTGTAAAAAAAAAAAAGACCCATCTCTTTAACCTGGTGTACACATAACACACTAACACATTTCTGATATTCAAATCCGTTAAAGGATTGTTAGGTTGCATTAATTAGGTCCACCGGAACTTGGAACACGTCCAATAACACAAAATGGCCTAGCTACATCGTGAGAAGAATGGCATCTACGCTAATATTAGTCTGTTTCTTTCTTATTCCGAGGTCACCGTAGCCACCAGATCCAGTCTGTATCCAGATCAGATAGTCACTGCAGTCACCCGGATTCAGTTCGTATCCAGCCCAGATGGTGGATCAGCACTTAGAGATGACCTCGACAGCCATGAATGTCAGCGGAGACCAGGACAACTAGATGAGCCCCAGAGACAGATCCCAGTAAAGACCTTGTCTCCTAGACAGCCACCGGGACAAGACCACAGGAACCAGTTGAGTCCTCTGCTCAATGTGACTTTGCTGCAGCCTGAATTTGAACTGCTGGTTTCGTCTGGCCAGAGGAGAACTGGCCCCCCGACTGAGCCTGGTTTCTCCCAAGGTTTTTTCTCCATTCTGTCACCGATAGAGTTTTGGTTCCTTGCCTCTGTTGCCTCTGGCTTGCTTAGTTGGGGACACTTAATTTCCAGCGATATCGTCGACTTGATTTCACAGATACTATTTAAACTGAACTGAGCTGGATGATGACATCACTGAATTCAATGATGTATTGCCTTTAACTGAAAATGTAGTGTTTACCATTGTAATTTTGCATTAATGACACACTATTTTTCTAATTAATGCTGTACAGTTGCTTTGACACAATCTGTATTGTTAAAAGCACTATATAAATAAAGGTGACTTGACTTGACTTGAATGCACCAACAAGGTTTTTTTTTTTTGAAGAAACATTGAGAATGACTGTGCGCGGTGGCATAAAGCTGGAGATCGACAGAAGAAATAGAGACGAACTCACGGAGTCATGTAAAATAATCCATCAAGTCCTGTCCCAATAAAGATGTAATTTTGCGTGAATTAAATAATATGCAGCCATTAATGGGCGCATGTTGGAAATAAAAGTGCTGAATTTAATTTGCTCTCTGTTGTCTATATGCTCATCGTCTCATGAAGTCGGAGTCACGTAGGCTAAGATTATCCGTCAAGTCCTCTCCCAGTAAAGACGTAACTTTGCATTAATTAAATAATACAGCCATGAATGAGTGCATGGTGGAAATAAAAGCACTAAATTTAATTGTCTGTTGTCTATGCTCATCATTAGTCTTGTGAAGCCGCTTTCATTTTGCTGTTCACTCAGCAGATTGATCAGGAAATGCTCCACTTATAAACCTACTAAAACTGTAGTTTAAAATGAAGTTTATATGACTCCTTTACTTTATTTTCTCCATTTGAAAACATTAGACCTTCTACATTTATTTTGCTTATTGTTAATATTAGTGTTGCTGCTGATGCTTTAAATAAAATGTTTTTTTTTTATTATTGTTGTAATATGAAGATTAAATTTATCATGAAAGACTGCTAATTTTCAACACTTTTTTTTAAGATGACTGAAAGGAGGAAAAACCAAAGTGAAGTATGGACTTACTTCACTCAGTCATTTATTTACTTTATAATAGTAAATAAATATTGGTTCTGCATATCGGTTATCGGGCACAACCGACCGACGCAATATAGACATGATCTGCACGTCGGGCCGACCTCTCATGTTTGTTGGGTTATGTCTTAGAGACCCTTTTAGCCTTTTGACATTTGCATATAAATTACAGACCTGTGCCCGGTTGCATAAAGCACCTTAAGTTTTTCCCCAAGTATGAGACTTAAGGCGTGATTTCCCCTTACCTAAGGGAATGACTTAAGGGTGTTGCATATAATCCCTTAAACACTTCCCTTAGCAAAGGGAAACCGTTAAGTGTTTCACGGCAGCGACCCATGTTTTGCCATTAAAAAAATCGACTGTTGCCATGGTCACGTTATTTGTTAATGCAGATAGTGGTGTAAGTTTTCACAGAAAACAATATAACATGAATAAGGAAAACAAAAAAGAAAACCAAATATGAAAGAGAAGGACCAGACGAGACGGATACCCAAATTCACTCAAAACTGAAAATTCAGAAAAATAATTTACTCACCCTCGTGTCAGTTCAAACCCATAAGACTTTTATTCATCTTTGGACAACGAATAAATATCTCTCATCATTTCTGTCCATGTAGAGGTTTTCAGGTACTACCGTATTGGCCCGAATATAAGACGACCCTGATTATAAGACGACCCCCCTTTTTCCAGATGTACCTTTTGGAAAAAGGCTTTTTAAAAAACAAATCTTGTTTTTTCTCAGTAAAACACATTTTGTCTTCAATTATTTTAAATGCAAAGAGACAAGATAGTCTATGCATGACGTTTTATTCATATCCAAAACGATTTGAACATTAAAGCGCTAAACTCTCCTGCAGTGAATGTTTCATTCATACTCGAAGCCGGAGGGCGCTCTTGCGCAGAAAGTCCAAACAGGATTCATAGAAGTAGCCTAAGCTGAATAAAAAGCAGAAACGTAAACACAATAAACTCACAATTGCAACAATATATGGTTTATGTGTGTTTTTCAAGTCATCTCCAGGTAATATGTAGGAAAATACAGGAATAAAATATGGAATATAAATTTGCTCTCGAGTGTGACGCACTCACGTTTGAGCTAATTATGTGCTGTATGTAATTTGATCAATGTTTATATGTGAATAAATGCGTAAATTAAAATCTGTTTAACATATAAAGCGGCCGATCATGACTTGTAGAAGACTTTTGTGTAACACTTAAAATGACATCTTCCAACCCTTATGTTATACTTAGGAAAATGACAGTTAAGGGGCTTTACGCAACACTTAATGGGTTTTAAGGGATACTTAAGATAAATTTTAAGGGTTTATTACGTTTCACCTAAAGATACCCTTAAGTATTATTTAAGGGATATTTTATGCAACGCCCTTAAGTGTAAGAGCACAGTCTGCCGTCGCGTCTAATGGAAACACTCCACTGAAGCCGCATGATGGATGAGACATTCAGTACTTTCATAGTGGCATCTTTCAGTACTGATTAACCAGGCTGCAGGCGAGTGTACTAATGACCTTGCTTTATCTTACAGCGCTCTGTTCTAACAACACTGTCAAAAGTGGTGTTTCCATTTATCCAATAGATATACTGCTCACTGAATACTGCATGATATGTACTGGTGAGTACATAACCGCATAACTGTATTTTACAGTATATATATATATATATATATATATATATATATATAATCCAATTATAGCCAATAATATTGTGGATTTACCCACAGTAAATCAACACCAGTAAACTGAATTGCTAAATAACCCAAACCGATATACAGTACCATTTAAAAGTTTTGGGATCGTTTTGTCTCTTGTGTGCCAAAAATAGAGTAAAAACAGCAATATTGTTAGATAATATTACAATTTAAAAGACATGTTTTCTACTTTACTATACATTAAAATGTAATTTATTCCTATGATGTCAAAGCTGAATTTTCAGCAGGCAATACTCCAGTCTTCAGTGTCACATGATCCTTCAGAAATCATTCTAATCTGCTGAGTTGGTGCTCAAGAAACAATTTAATGTGTCCTTGTTGAATAAAAGCTTTAATTTCTTTCTTTCAAAAAAATTACTTACTGACCATATAACGTAATATTACAGCATGCATCTGCACAAAATTAAGCAAGTTGTGCACTAGACAGAACAAAGTCACATTGCTAATACACTCTTTCTGCAACAACACACTACAATGTGCCCCTTGCCTTAAACATGAGCAATGAATCACTTCAGAATTTACAATATTGTATTACAATAGTGAACTCAGAATATTCTTTCATGAGCCTGGTTTTCACAAGGACCGTTTCTGCATGTTGCTTTTGTTAAATGGTTATACATGTTTAAATAAATATATCAGATATTTGAATATTTGGTTTCAAATGTCACTTCTACTAAAATGAAATGCATGACAAAGTGACTAAAATGAAATGTAAAAAATAAACAGTAGGTCATTCTATTATGTGTTGTTATACAAGGACCTCGAGATAACACAGGTCCACAGCCTTACCCTGCAGAAGTGATGTTGCAGTCGTGACTGTCTCAGGGACACCGTCTTTGCTATAAATGGACTGCTGGAACTCAGGAACACAGTCATTCTCATCTGTGATGATCACTCGCACCTGTGAAAAACAAGCGGAAAGGAAGCCAGAAGGCACAGAATAGAAAGTTGTGAATTGTTAATGGAACAAATGGGCAGATCATAATATCTTGAATTTGTGAATTATTATCAGGGAGTAAGTTAGAACATCACTATGACTGTCCCCAGTGTTTCTCAGAGTCTGAGAATGCCTTGCCAAAAAAAAGCTCTTTTAACAAGCTTAAAAGGCCATATCCTATCACGCTTTAAAACCATTATCCAGGTTTTTCTTGGCCCTTTCTCACTGCAAAATTATTTGGTGTCAAGCAGTTATGTTCTTACATAAACAAACATCTGTGCCTGAAAATACAGTAGTTGTGAAGTAGTGAATCTCAACACAAAAGGACAAACGTCCTCCAGGATCTCATTGCCATGTTATAGCTCTTTCCCAATTTGTTGCAAAAGCATCAGGGAAGCTAAAAGAGGCATTTAATGCCTCCCATAAGAATTAAGCTGAATGTTGCTGTCTGGAGGAGGAAAAACACTGTGTGAGTGCTTTTGCCCTGACACTGTTGCTCAAGCTTCCTGGCAGTTGCTAAGTGACTTTAATAACCTACTCACTGCAATTTTAGAGACCGGAAAGATGAAAATAGACAGGCCAAGTCAGAAATGGTCAAAATTGTGACAACAGGTCAGAGTCTACAAGGTTACCCATATTTCTAACACTAACAGAGACCATAATCCGAAATCACATGAAATAAAACGCCTTCATATAAGGCTGAATCAAAAAGAAGAGCTACAAGACAGAAAGATCCCTGAGGGAAAGTTTTGTGTTCTCAGTAACTGTTCAGAGCCCTATTTTATAAGTTTTACTCTCAGTGGTTATTCTGTTGATAGTAAAACCAATGATATACAAAGACATTGTATCAATAAAGAGATCTGATATGACGGACACAATCCGGGAATACGAAGCTGATTAACATATCGTGAACTGGTTTGACTCATTTATTGACATAAACAGACACAAAAGATCAGTTCACTCACATATCACACATCACTATGGAATGCAAGGAAATGCTATTCTACACAAGCAATTTCTAGGCGATATTTTTTTTTACAGCAGATCATAAATAGAAAATGTATATCCACTACTGAAATTTCCATTACTTTTTCAGGCCTGGAAAACAATTACAAATATTGCTGATATTTTCAGATTGTCCATGACTGTGAGAACCCTAATAACTGTGACTGAATAGGCCATAATTATTGATTCTGAAGCCTTTTCAGTTTGCACATTGTTAATTATGTCATTTTAAACCGTGTTTTGTTTTGTTTGTTGTAACTGGTGCTTTAGCACAGGTGTTCGGGGTCTCCAGAAACTGAGATGTGAGAAGAGTTATAGAGTGATTTCAGGGTGACAGATGGGCTGCGGTGTGCCTGAATGCAGAGAATGCAACAGGCAAATTTCTCTCAGGACCACGTCTCACAGGATTCTTGAAGTCAAAAGGGTCTGTCAGTCTTTTAGTATAATTGTTTTGTCTGCATGCCCTCTTGCTCCCCATCTGCAGTTAGACACACAGTGGCTGCATTGTTTTGAGACATTCCCCAGCTAATAGCTGAGATCGTGGCTGGCCTGCCTCAGGCCAGGACAGATGTATGGATCACTGAGCAGCCAGATCAAGTCATGATGAGGTGAGACTACAACCTCCAGTGGAATGTTACTGTAAAAGGAATGAACGGACTGCTAGGCATCTCTTTGATTTCAGTTAAATTGTTGCCCCTACATTTCCCACAGTGCCACAACCCTCTCGATTGTAGTTTTTTCATTCTTAAGTGACCAAAATTTAAATGGAAAGTATAAATAACATGAACATTATCATCAGTCTGTCTTAATTTAAAAGAGAAGTGAAGTTTATACTGTATATAATATTACAATTGAAATGTTTATTGTTTAAATCACTAAACAATTAACAAAACAAAACAAAAAAAACAGCACAGCAAAATAAATAATGCCAGCAAGTAAGAAATACTAAAAAATAAGATTATAACACACTAACCTCATAATGTATTCATTCTGCAATGCTGGGAGCTTGCAAATCAGCAATAGTGCTCAATATGAAACTGTTTGTTTAGACAGCTGTGTTTGGCTAGCTGGGACAAAATTTAAGGGAATAATTTTGGTCTGACATGCGTTTTAATAGGGATTCATAGTAATTCATTTTTCCTAGTGGCTGTGACCCCGCATTCAAAATAAAATAGTTGTTTTGCTTTTATTTTTTTTTACCTGTCTGTTTATCTATATTTCTTTCTATATACAGTGGGTACGGAAAGTATTCAGACTCCTGAATACTTTCCGTACCCACTGTATATATATATATATATATATATATTTATATATATCTTAGCTATCTTTACAACCATATCATTTTTGCATTAAAAAATGACACAGAATGGACAGCCAAAAGCATATAATTATAAGAGTTGTTGCTACAGATATCTTCAGTCATCTTTTTTCACTACACATTTATTTAACTGCTATTTCACTGTTATTTCACTGATTTCACGTTTTTCCCTGTTGCTATGCAAACATCTATATCAACATTTTGAGACGTGCATGCCTGGGAAATAAATATAGTGTTCAATAAAAGTTAAATTTCTACTGAAGACAAATTCCCTAGAAAAATTCATAATACTGAAGATTCTTTTCAACAGTCTTCTTGACAGTCATTGTACTGTGGTATTGATGTTTTTCCCATAAACTACCTAATGGATATATTTCCACTACTATACATTTCATTATGAGCAAAACCTTCCCATATATCACTCATTAGGTCTTATTCTGGAAGTAATGAAGTTAGAACCAAGAGATAATGAACCATTTTCTCGTCAGACTCAAAACAAAATCTAAAAAAAAAGTCTAAAAATGTAGATGTTTTAGAAATACAGAAATGTTAATTTTATCAATAAAAAATATATTATATCTCAAATATATAAGCACCAAAGGTACAAATAAATAAATACAACCATGCATAACAAAGCATAATCATTGTATGATTTAAAGAGAGTTGATTGAATGTGCAGAATATGTACAATTCTTAAATGGGCATCCTGTCTGAGTTTGTCTGTGCACCTGCAGCACTCACCTCAGCAGCACTACTGAGACTGTCCTGATTCTCACTGGCCCGCACCAGCAGCAGGTAGCGGTGCTGGTCACTCTCATAGTCTATAGTATGGGTCAGACTGATCTCCCCCGTCTCTGGCTGGATGCTGAAAAGACTGCTGGGATTGATGAGCAGGCTGTAAATTACAATCTGTTTTTGGAAGGACACTGCTGGAGTGACTAGGAAGCTGGATGAGAAACGACAAAGAGAGAGACAACCTGATTGACAATAATCAATGATGATTATTGACTATAATTGATTATGCTGTTCTAAAAATGAACAAACATAAAAGCAAAAAAGAATGGGTTAACAAAGGTAAATAGAATGATAAGTGCACCAAGGGCATCTGAGCTAATATGGACATCTGTTGAATATAAGTTTCAATGAATTCAACTTCCAATGTGAATGCAGTATATCTTTAGAGACATTTAGTCGTAACTGAATGTGGGTAAGTGGAGGATTGTATGTTGTGGAAATAAATGTTAAGATAAATGGAAACAGCTACAGCAGGTAAGAGATTCACCACAGGCTCACTGATCTTGTGTAAATGTAGAATAAACAATTTACAATTACACAGCATCAAAGAACATACAGTACTGTGCTGGTTAACAAATATATTGGGGGCAAAGCAAACCCATTACTAAAGAAAGCAAGCGGAAATGGAAAAGTTTTCCTCCTCATTTCCGATGACATAGATCAAAATATCTCTCACTTTAGTCTCATCCTGATGCTAAAAAAAACAACCTCTGTTGTAATTTTCATTGAAAGGAGAAGTTCACTTCCAGAATGAAAATTCTGTCACCATTGACTTCCATAGGATTTTTTTCTTCTTACTATGGAATGGTGCCCATCAACTGTTCGGATACCAACATTTCTCAAAATATCTTCTTTTGTGTTCAACAGAAGAAAGAAACTCATACAGGTTTGGAACAAGTGGAGGGTGAGTAAATGATGACAGAATTTTAATTCTGGAAGTGAACTACTCCTTTAAGGTGCATCTGTCTTACTGTTATTGTAATTTTCTTTCTCGTTGATTTTTATTCACTGGGTCAAATCATGACCAGTGCTTACACTTAGAGAACAAAATCATAAAACCCAGCAATTAAAGTGTATCACTGCAATTCCATGACATTTTATTAAGCATTATCAAAGTAGGAAAAACACAAATATTTACAAATCAAATTAGAAGTGAGCGATTATAGCTGATTGTAAGAAGTGACAATAAAGATATCACAGCATTCATTAGTCTAGGATAATCATTTAACCACAACCATAAATCACACATCTTGTTTGCCATGGGGCACAAAATTTGTAATAAGTTCTCTACAAATTAAAAAAAAAAAAATTGCTGCCTTGGGAAAAATTCAAGCAAAGGCTTTATGTCAGTGATATCAAATGCTCATTGGCTCTTGACTACTTCGTCACCAACTGCGAAATGACATGTTTTGGGTGATATATTCATTTGAATGAGATATACTGTACACAACTTTGGGAGAATATAAGATTATTATTATTATTATTATTATTATTATTATTATTACTATAAAGCCAACAGCCTATATATGTAACATTTTATATGGCAACATAAATATATAAGCATTATATGAGCATTTCTCAAAAAAAAAAATTAACTGTTAAATGATATAATTCATTTATGGGAGCTTTTCACTTTATAATTTGCAATTTGTCAGTTTCTTGATACATTCAGAGAGTAGAAAATAAAGGCAAAATTATGATAATCACGCACTCAAGCAGTCAATATTGACATTCAAGTATTTTGGTAATCCCAAAGAAGCTTAACGGCAGACGAACAAAGGTAAATATGACTTTCTTTCAGGTATTGTGGTTATTACAACTCCATTCCCATTGGCAGAGGTTGCCTGCTGGCTTGGTTTGCCTCTGCTGTCTGGCAGAGACCAGAACATTTGGGGATAACATTAACGTCACCCCATTTTGTTGCCATGAGCAATATACTTATCCTAACATTAACCATATTTTTGCATATCTATATGGATGAAGCCAACCAGATTCAGTAAGATTTGGCTGCCAGTGCCAAGTCTAAGTTTAATGAAAGCAACAATATGGCGGAATCACAGGTGTGTATGAGGAAAATAATATACACCACAGCATACAATGCATATTCAATGACATGCAGCTGCCATAAATGGATCTAGTAGGCACTTATTCCACATGGATTTAGGATAATTTGCTACAAGGCAAAGCCTGATTTAATACAGTACATCTGTGTAGAGCACGGCTAATCGTTCTTCCCTGTAGCAGCATCATGCAAGTCATTTCTCAGTGACTCATCTAATATCAAAGGGCTAAACTATTAACACTGACTGCACAAAGACAAAGTAATAAAGGGTCCATTTGTCATCTATATGTGGGAGCAAATTAAAATAAATAAATAAATAAATAATTAAACTACAAAAAAAGAGAGGCTTTTATCATATACATTACTTGGTGTAACGCATGGTTAACCTCTCACGGCTGTCTATACGAGCAGAACAAAGTTATGATGTTAATGCATCTTTAATGCATATCACAGTACCCTGACATAGTCAAAGATCATTATTTCATGAATTTTGCATCGTGTAGTACACAATGACTCACACAAGCGATGCTCCAGCGAGAAGCAGAGGGAGCGTGGATGGCTGTAAGTGCAGTATGATCCTGTTTCTATTTGTTATCCTGATGGATAAGCGGTGTTCTCACGGTGTGGGAGATGCATTTAGGGCGTGCTAGAATTACACTATGGAAATAAGATTTGCTGCATTTACTAGATTGGGTGTGTGTTTATGTGTGTGTGTGTGTGTGTGTGTGTGTGTGTGTGTGTGTTATGGCTTTACTCACGGTTGCCCTTCTGGTGTGTTTTCTGGTATGGAAATTGTATAAGACACGTTGGTGAACTGAGGAGCTCTTGGGCCTGCGATGATGGATACTACAGCGGGAGGACTGCGGCTGCCCTGCCGATCAGCAGCCACCACTGTGAGTAGGTATTCTCTGTCTCTTTGCAGGGGGAGGCCTGTCGTCCACACGTGACCGTTCTTCCTGTCCACCTCAAATCTCCCGTCACCTCCTGTTGTATAACAAAACAATTCATCCACATGCAAATGAAATGCAAATTTTATGATGGTGACACTTTGCAATAAGGTTCAATTGGTTAAAATGTGTTAATGGTTTAGGTATCATTTAACTTGTATATACAACTTGTATAAATTAATATTAATGTATTATGAGCAAATATACATGAACAATGAAAAACATATTTATAAATAAATACTTACCTCAATTAATAAATGCAATAAAATGAATGTTGTTCATTGTTAGTTAATGCATTAAATAAATTTTTTAAATTAAGCCTTATATTAAAGTGTTACCCTTAAATGAATAATATAAAATAATTATGATTATTAATAATAACAGACAGACAGACAGACAGACAGACAGACAGACAGACATATAGATAGATAGATAGACAGATAGATAGATAGATGCATTTACATTTACATTTACATTTTTTTCAGGATTTTTTGATGAATACAAAGTTCAAAAGAACAGGATGTATCTGAAATAGAAAGCTTGTGTAACATACACTACTGTTTAAAAGTATGGGGTCAGTAAGATTTTTTTTTTTTTTTGAAGAAAGAGAAAGAAAGAAAGAAAGAAAGAAAGAGAAAATGAAATGAAAAGAAATAAATCAATGCTTTTATTTAGCAAGGATGCATTAAATTGATCAAAAGTGACAGTACATACATTTAAATGTTACAAAAGCTTCCTTTTCATCTAAATGCTGTTCTTTTGAACTTGCTATTTATCAAAGAAACCTGAAAATAAAATAAAATAAACTTTGATATAAAATAAGGAGGCAGATGGGAAATCTGCTTACCATCAGACAGGAAGTATTCCACCTCTCCATTGATGCCCTCATCACCATCTCTGGCTTGAAGCTTGTAGACCAGTGTGTTTGATGGGGCATTAGCAGAGACCACACTCAGGTAGGGGAAAGGGACCATCGTCCATTCTGGGGCATTATCATTGACATCCATCACCGTCAAATCCACTCTCACTGTATACCAGTCTGAACCTGTAAATGTAGAGATTTCCACACTCATATTCAGTTCAAACGGTACAAAGAAATGTCTGTAATCATGAATGTATCAAATTACATAAAAACCAGAGAAGGCGAAGAACAACAACAACAACAACAACAAAAAGGCCATTTAAAAATAGCTGGAGCGGTTTATTTTAATTGCCGATTTTTGTCTGGTATCTTCAGTATGTGACACAGGACACAAAACATAAGGCCATGCATTGGCCCTGCATGACTGTGTCATGATATGGGTTTCTTCACAGCATGTCCTCAGTGCAGTTTCAGAATCTCAGTTTCAAGTTTTGATGTTTATTTTCCACAAAAAAAAAAGCTACAAAACATCATAGATGCAGAGACACATTTACATGCAAGTTGGAGAGAATGGCAGATACTAATGAGTGGAGTGTTTTCCTCATGGCAGCACTTGCTACGTTTAGCTGCTGCGTCGCCTCATTAAACATCCCTTCTTTATCACAATCATCGCCTTGCAAAGCGACAGAACTAAAGACAGTTTCAGTACACATTTATGGACGGCACGGTAACATCATGGAAATGCATGAACGAAAAAAGCTAAAGGACAAAAAGAAAGAAAACCGTGTCAGCCATAAAACACGCCGGTGTCTTCTCCCCTTTTCGGGACTTTTCACTCTTGTTCAATCTCCCCTTCAAACGCATCTCCCCATTCCCATTTATTTCTTTTTTCCCTCTTTCTAACAAAATTCCTCCCTTGCTCTCACTTTTTCCCTGAGAGAGGTATAAATAGTGGGCTGTCTGTCAGAAGATGTGTGGAGTGACAGAGTCACAGGCTCTTTGATTCCCCAGGTGATTGGCCCGTTCATTGCCTGTGACAGCACACCTGCTGCCTTACACTCTGCTGGGGAGACACAGAAGAACAGCAAGAGAGAGAAAGAGAGAGAAAGATTGAGCGAGAGAAGTGGGAATTAGTGGGGGAGGCTTAGAAAAAGATTAACTTAAGCTCCAGGTTTGGATCAATATAAAATCATTATTAATAATAGATTAATAGATAGAGGAGGTGGGCAAGAGAGAGCCATATTAAGATCGATATATAAAGAGAGAGCCAGAGGAAAGATAGAGAGTGAGGGCACAGAAAGAGAAAGCAAATCCCCCAGGTGTGTCAGGAGTGTGTCTCAGCTAATCCAAGCTCATAACAGGCTATAAGGTCACTCTATTTTGTGTATACAGCAAAAGCTACTCATAACAAAACACACCATTGACTCAACCACATCCAGAGCATTGTTCAAACTTTTGCACAGGTCATTATCTGCAAGGGCACAATAGCCAATAGACAATTTCTTGCCACCAAAATGGCAAAAAGAGACAAACATCTGAGTTTGACTTGTTGAGTCGGTGGTATGGCCACAATCTTATATCACAGTAACAGTATACATCACAATATAGTTATTTTTTTAATAATAAATTGTTTAAATTGTAAGGAGTAAAAAAGTGCTATTTTTCTTCAGAAATGTAATCAAGTAAAAGTGCAAGTAGTGAGTTTAAATTGTACTTAAATAAAGTGCAGATACCCCAAAATAATAATTAAGTACAGTAATCAAGTAAAATTGCTCAAGTATTTTACACCCCTGTACATATCTATACATCCAAAACCATAAGACTCTTCCTACACTGTGGTAACCTTATGTTATTACATTAAGGAGTCTTTTTTATACCTTAAATAACCTTTAAATTTAGTTTTGTTGGTCTAATGCATTTAGGTTGATTAATTCAAAGAAGGCAAATAATTATTTTGACTTGTGTAAAATTAATTAACTTAGATGTTTTTTTTAAAACCCTTTTTAGTGTTTAATAACTGTTAAAAGGAAGAACAAACTTCTCTTTTGCTCTAGTGTACTACAAATATTGTTGGCTTTTATGATAAATTGCTTGTGATGTTCCTCATTTTTAAGTATCTTTGGATAAAAGCATCTGCCAAATGAATAGATGTAGCGTGTAAACATAATGTCTATTTTTTTATATTGTAGCGGCATAAAAATGACAGTGTGGGTTGATGGGTGGGGCAGGGCTTGACGCAAAACAAAAAGTACGATTATCCATAACAAATGAATGATAAGTCTGGCATCAGTACAAAAACAGCTTAAAATTACATAACACTTTCAAAGATAAAACCCCCCACATAAAATAACAATATGACTGGATGAGCCACATTTGAAGCCGCTATAAAACAGCCATTATATATTATGCACATTTCCACACCTATGACACATCTGTTGAATTTTATATAAATGCAGCAGGTTACGACATTCTGTATACCGTATTGGCCCGAATATAAGACGACCGCGTTTTTTGAGATGTATTTCCAAGAAAAAAACATTGTCTTATATTCGGGACAATACGGTAATTATCTATTGCATGACAATCTATCGCATCATCAGAACTAAATTGCTTTCATAAATCACTTTCATTATAATCGTCTGTCAATACTGGAAGCCGACAGTTGTTTTCTGCTTCTGGACAGATTTTTTTTTTTTTTATCTGCACCTCTGGATAAACATGTTTTTAATTTTTTTAAGTCTCTCCTTTATAATCAACAATGCGGTCAATACTGGACGTGTCTATCTACAATACAGCCTATAGTTTTCTGCATCTGGTTAGATTTTTTCTTTTTTTCTTTATTAAGCTGCACTGCAGATCTCCTTTACCGGCTGACACAATTTTAACATTATACCGCTCAAACCAAGTGAAAACTTGTTCACATTCTGCACCAAATGTGTAGCAACTTGTTTTCAGAGCATATATTTTGACATGAAGTGCATGAACCCTCACACTCTCTTTGCTAAAAAGCAGAACTGTTTTGTTCACCCTAAATGCTCCCATAAGCACAGTGAGAGCATCAGGGTGCCTGTATGAGGAGCTGCTTAACATGACCTGCCAGTCAGAAGCGGTCCCGGTGTGAGAGATGGATAGAGACACTGAGAGCCTTGGGGGGAGAAAGAGGAGGCTGGTGAAGGCCTCTCTGGAGCTCTGATGGATGGATGAATGCCATGCCAGAGCCAGAGGGCCATCAACGATCGTGCAAAACTGATAAACATCACAGCCTCCTTCTGAATAACGTTCCTAAACTTCCTTTCTGCTCACTGTACCGAAACCGCAGCCGGTGGTTCCAGATTCATACAGCGAAAGACATTGCATTAGAGATTTACAGGAAATTTTTCACTTGGATGATGGGAAAACGTTGGAGGAATGATGGAGAAAATAAAAAGGTGGATCTGTATGAGAGAAAGAGAGAGTGAAAGAGAAACGCACTAACAAGGCTGAAAACCGAAGCATGTAATGCTGAAAAGCATGAAAAGCTGAAAAGAAACAATGTGGGATTAAGACAAAATACAACACCATTGGAACGGCCTTGAGGTTGTTATGGAAACTGAATTAAAACCAGACTCGGACAACAGGAAAGAGAAAATACAAGCTGCCAAATGACTGCATAAATCAATGTCATTAAAAGACAAGAATAGTGGTAAAAATAGCTGTGGATCAAAGCCGCGGTGGAAGAAAATTAATCAGCATTTAGAGACAGGAAAAATGGGCAACAAAAGCATCTAGCTGCAATGCTTCCCTGTCTGCTTTATGTTACTGAAGCACAAGCTCAATCTGCAAGTTCATACAGTAACAACATACCTACACATCAAAGACCCCCACAGAGGGGTCTTTTATATCCCTAAATTATCCTTCATAGCTACTTATTATAATGCATATTATTACACAGCTATTAACAAAACAAATAAAGGTCAATGATGTGAAGTTAAATATATTTTTAAATGTATTTATTTATTTATTTTTGGCACAAAATCCAAAATAACTTGACTCAATCGTGTCCAAATAACTTGATTCAATCACGTGAAACAACTGTCCATGATTGAACCATGTTCATCCAAGTAATTTTTTTGAGTTATCTGAAACTATTGAGTTATACAAAAATTAAAAATGTAATTAATACAAAAAAAAAACAAATTGACTTGCAACATAAGGTTGTATTAATTTAAAAACATTCCCCCCAGTACAGAATGTTAACAGGAATTAGAAGTGAGAAAAACAGAAAAATATAAGCTTCGAAAACACCAGTGAAAATACAACAGGAGAGATGCGAATGAGGATTTAGGGAGAGAAACAAAAGTGAGAGAGAAAGTGTAGCCTAGTCCAGTCCAAATATTCATGGGATATTGTTTATTAATGTCTGTTGCCCTTTACACATTGTGGAAAAATAATAACAAAATAAATAAATAAATAAAACTAAAAGATCTATTTTCAAAGAAGTGAAAACGAAATGAAACGAAATGAAATGAAATAAAATAAGATATAATAAAATAAAATGACCTTTGCCAAAAGTAAAATTGACAGACATATTATGTAGTGCAACCTCTGGGTGAACATGTTGTCAATTTCTTAAATTTTGATATTTTGTGGTTATTATGGTAAAAAGAAAAAAGTCAAGGTGGTGTTACAATACAAAGAAAAACATGATTAAAAGCTGAAATTTTTTCAAAAACAAAAATGTTGGCAAGTAGTTTGACAATGTTTTATAAAAGTTTATATAT